TGGACAATTTTTCGGTTACTACAGGTATATATATATATATATATATATATATATATATATATATATATATATATATATATATATAGATAACTGGACTCGTTTCGGAAAAAACTTTCCAAACTTTCCCTGACGATCCGTTTAGGTGAAACCTAGGTAGGTTTGTCTGGCTCACTAGGTGTATCCATCTATCTATCTATCTATCTATCTATCTATCTATATATATATATATATATATATATATATATATATATATATATATTTGTGTATTTAGGCAGCAATCCTTCTTTCATGAACATTTTATTAAAAACGACAGACAAGTTGCTTTTATTTAGTTTTTTATACAATTTCTTATGCGATCTAATAATGTTTTCTTCTTTTCGGATGATAAATTATATAAAAACTGTCTGAATGTTCTTTTTATCCGAATGCTTTCGGCTATACATTTAGCCATTTTCAAGGATTCTATTTTAACTGTTAAAATTCGAAATAGTTTGATGTATGTATGCTTTATAAAATGTTTTCATTTTTTTGGTTCAAAACACGGTCAAAATATTATGTCCATGTTCAAAGTTAATATTATTAAGTGTTGGTTTGTTTGTTTTTATTGATAAGGCTTCCATTATTTTTACCCTTTTTTGCATGTGGATGAGGTTATTATATTAGTGTTGTCAACAAGTATGTTACGAATAGTGTCCGGTAGGTCTCCATGAATATTTAAATGAGATCTAATTGAGCTATTGTCAGAAAGGTGTAGAGTTAGTCTGCGTGTTAAGCATGTTGTAGTGTGGTCTATATAATTATTTAGGAAAGTTGATTGTTGAGGAATACAATTCCTTAATGGGTATTTTAATTCGTAAATAATATTTGCCCTATTTAATTTTGTTCTAGGAGGTGAATTATTATTTTTAACTATAAGGTTAGAGGTTTTAAATTTTTTATAATAAATAATTAATCTATTTTTTTTGCTATTGTCAACTGGTGTTATGCATTTTTTATAATGTTCTTAATTCTACTTTCGTCTTGTTTATAGTTTTCGTTCATCTGATTTTTATCAAAAATAGAGAGAGAGAAAGAGATAGGTACTGACGAGGATAAATCAAATAACTACATATTAGTAACCGTATATGCGTACGTTAGCAAGCATACACACGTAAGCGAATACACATACTCAATTTAATGTATAGTGGAAAGAAAAACAGTACTCAATGTGGTTAGAGAGAGCTAAGAATCATATATTAATAAAAAATACATATACGTACGTACGAACGTGGGTATATGTATATATATTAATATATGTTTGTATAGATAGATAGATAGATAGATAGATAGATAGATAGGTAGGTAGGTAGGTAGGTAGGTAGGTAGGTAGGTAGGGAGATCTTGGGAGAATCTTGGATGGCGTTTCAGAAATACACTGAATTCGACCAATTAAGTATTTTAAGACTGGCAGATAAATCTCTTTTTTTTTTTTTTTTTTTGCCAATCCCAAGAAATTCGGACCACCCAGCCAGTCCAAAGTCGTACGTTTCGCAAGTGTCGTGTCATGTGCAAATGTGAGCAGACACACACACACACACACACACACACACACATACACACACACACACACACACAAAGACACACACAAACACATTGAGTAGATATCTCTATACACTAATCACGTTACTACTACTACTACTACTAATAATAATAATAATAAATCTAATAAGCCTAAACTTGCTCAAATTTAACGTGTTTAAAGGCGAATAGACATTTTGTAAAAACCTACAACTCAACATCAAAAACAGACCAACAATAATCAAGATAACGAAAAGGGCGAGACCAACTTCGAGTTTCGTAGACAATCCGATAAAACTACTGAATTCATTAGCAGATATCTACATAGCGATATAGCTCCGTAAATAAAGGAAATTAAGTAAAATATATGATAACCTTAGAAAACTACCGCAGTTGCGTCCCTTGAATTTGCAAGCAGGTTTGATTAGATTCTTATATCTTTCGACAGTCTGTCTCAGTGTGTTATTTTTTTTTATCTATCTATCTATCTATCTATCTATCTATCTATCTATCTATCTATCTATCTATGTTTATATTTATTAAGGTTTATATCTATCTGAATCTGTATGTATGTATGTGTGTATGTATATCACTCGGTTCATATCTATCTATCTATCTATCTATCTATCTATCTATCTATCTCTGTTCATCCACTGTTCATATATGTTTATGTTTGTGTGAGCTAGGTTGAGTGTGTGTGTGTGTGTGTGTGTGTGTGTGTGTGTGTGTGTGTGTGTGAGCATACGTCTTAATGAATGTACGTGCGTGTCTGTATTTTTGCGTAAGTATAAATGGCGTGCTGACAAGAATTTTCCCCTCACACTTCCATAAAATCACCGATATATGCAACCATATATAAATCCAAAAATTAAAAATTAATACGTGTGTGTGACGATCGCAAATAGCGTGAAACCCAGGGTCACAAACTCACATCTATCTATCTATCTATCTATCTATCTATCTATCTATCTATCTGTCTCTCTCTCTTTCTCTCTCTCTCTCTCTCTCTCTCTCTCTCTCTATATATATATATATATATATATATATATATATATATGTTCATATCTATCTATCTATTTATTATCTATCTCACTCTGTTCATATCTATATCTATATAACTAACTACCTCACTCTGTTCATATATCTATCTATCTATCTATATCTATCTATCTATCTATCTATCTATCTCTCTCCTCTCTCCTCTCTCTCTCTCTCTCTATATATATATATATATATATATATATATATATATATATATCTTTTCATGTCTATCTATCTATTTATCTATCTATCTATCAATCTCACTCTGTTCATATCTATATCTATATAACTAACTACCTCACTCTGTTCATATCTATCTATCTATCTATCTATCTATTATCTATCTATCTGTCTGTCTGTCTGTCTGTCTGTCTCTCTCTCTCTATATATATATATATATATATATATATATATATATATATATTTATTTAACTATCTATCTATCTGTTTATGTTCATATCTATATCTATATAACTATCTCCCCCACTCTGTTCATATCTATCTATCTATCTATCTATCTATCTATCTATCTATCTATCTATCTATCTATCTATCTATCTATCTGAGTCACCGCTTGGGAATACCAGGTGCTGTAAGATTGGATGTGCGGGTGGTACACTGGATAATGGTGCAGATTTGTTAATCGGAGAGCCATGTTCCAATTCCGGTTTGCGGTTGTTATATTCACTTGGCAAAGACATGAATCCAAATCTGCTCCCCCAGCCATGGGTTAATTAGTGCGACTTGTATCACTAAACCATTACTTTCTCAAAAAGAAACTCTTAAAATATCAAAATATTTCCTGGCATTAAATAACCTAAAAAGGTGTGATACGCCGTCGAAAACGGATCAATCGATCCCGTACCGAGAGAGCCCTACAAGAGTCAAAGGCGAGTGAAGAATTTGTTAGCAAAGAACTTAGGATTTACCAATCTAGTCTTCTCTGTGTGACGTGTCCTTTCAGAACGTAGATGATTGTGGCCCTCCACAATTTCCTATCCTTCGTAGCTCTTAATAAATATGCTCTTTTTGTTATTTCTCCTAAACGATGTTCAGCCATACATCTACTCAAGCTCGCTAGCTAGGTTATTCGTTGTTTCCTCTATCCCTCGTGTCCTCAACCAGCCCTGTCAGTGTCGAAATTTCCAAGCCCTCTTTCCTCATTATGTGCCCTAGAAATTTTAACTGTTTCTTCCTGGTTTTAACTATCAGTGTCATTTTATTGTTTTTATTTTCTCTAAATTCTATCATCATCATCATTCTGTAATATCACATTTTGACTGTTTTAAATCTCTTTCTTATCTTTGAGGAGATCAAGGAGGGGGCGGATATCACGTACGAGTTCAGTGCTTTTTTTCACTGTTTCTAAACATGTTTTTCCGTTTCTAAATACTGTGCTTAAATTCAGAAAGTCTCGCCAAAAACAGAAAGTTCATCAAGGAAATAAAGCCACTAAGGCACAAAGTGTTACTGAGCGTAAAAGAATAACCAAAAAAGAGAAACATTATTAGAGAGAGAGAACAATAAAAGAAGAGGAACGGAGAAGACAGCAGATAACGATTGATATTGCATTTAAATTTTTGATGATCAAAGATGGCTGGTAAGCAAGAAGCCTAAAGAGAGTTCCACAGGTGAGAGAAGCGAGAGAAGAAGTTGTTAGCATAGAACTTACGGCTTCATCTAGCCAATTAAACTGTAAATTGATGTGACCTAGTAGCCAGTCCAGTACTGGGCTTAAATTCATAAAGTCTAGGTACCCTAGCGAATATTTAATCCGGACAATTACCATGAAAGTATTTATAGAAAAGTCACAATGAAGCCGATATGCCAGAATAGGATCAATAACATTGCGGATTCTTTTTTGATTTTATCGGGAATGGGAGCAATTTAATTTTTTCTGATGTTTTTCCGCAGTAATTTATTGTTCGAAGCGACATCGAACAAAACATTTTCAAGAGGTTACTTGTTAGTATAACTATATTTGCTTCAGTATCTGTCTATATTTCTGAGACACATGGCACAGTGGATAAAGGCGTTAGTTAGATCCAGTGACAGGAGTTCAATAACCGGCTAAGGCAGTGGAGAACTTTCAGAGGGAAATTAACAGGAGATAACTGATAACTGACATCAATTACACATGGCACGTGGAACTAGAACAGTCTACCCCAGTGAGCGAAATAAAGGGTTCAGTTCGATATTCCAAATACCTGAAGAAGGCCGGAGCGTACAACGGACGAAACGTTGTGATAAATATAGCGACAAAGATGAGGACAATAATGCGAATAATGTAAATAATCTATATGTGATTATTTTCCAGCTTGTACTTTGAAGAAGTAACAATAATTCTAAGCCATGTTGGGTGGGAATTGTAGACTGTGAGACAGAGGCTTGGCTTAAGCCGCTCTCTATAAGCGTCTTTTAGAATTGGGTGTTCTTCAAATGACAGTGCCATAGTGTAGGCGGAAGAATGAATTAGGTGATCGATAAGGAATTAATTAAAGACCCCTACACAGCTCCCTGTCGCATAACACAATTAGAGAAAAGCGATCAAACTGATACATTGCGAGTAAGAACCAAGGACATCGAGACAGTTGCAATAGAGAAAGAAAATTAGTGCTAATGATCCGGACAATGGTGTAACCTAGACTTTGCACCTATGATCTATCTATCTATCTATCTATCTATCTATCTATCTATATATATATATATATATATATATATATATATATATATATATATGTGTGTGTGTGTGTATATATATTCATACACGTTTCATTAAATAATATAGACAAGTGTTGTCGATTTATTTTATGTATATTTTTTTCGTAACGTCTGATAAGTTTAATAACATTATCGTTGAACGAAGAAAGAAATTCACAATATTGATCCATATTTTTTAATACAATCTAAGCTTTCGGTTTACATAAGCCATTATCAAAGATATCAATTACAACATATTAAGCAATATACAGACAAGACAGTGATGATAGCCTGTCATTGTTTACATAGATGCTTTCTAAGCAATGATAAACACATGCATATAAGACGCTAGAAGCGGAAATCGCACCGCATCTCATGACGTCACACGAGAGTGAATTGGTGAAGTTTGAAGTATGGAAATGACGGACTAAGATAATGTTATTAAACTTATCAGATGAATTTACATAAAATAAATAGACAACACTTGTCTATATTATTTAATGAAACGTGTATGAATGAAAAGATGCTGCCTAAAATACACAATATATATATATATATATATATATATATATATATATATATATATATATATATATATATATATATATATATATATATATATATATATATATATATATGAAGAAATATAATTTTAAGGTGTACTATATTTATGTGAGAAAGTGCTCAATATCCTCGAGATGGAACGTATGTAAATATAAAAGATAAAGTAGACTTATTATTGATAGTCAAACTCGAGGCGTCTGACGTTTCCTGCTAGAACAAAATCTGTCAAGTCTGAGTGTTGACCTAATGAAATTTTATATATATATATATATATATATATATATATATATATATATATATATATATATATATATATATATGCGCCTAAAAAAATTTTGTCGGTTGAGCCTGTGGAAGAAGTATGAGTTTGAAAATATCCAAAATAACCTCCATTGGTTGCAGGCAAGTATGAAAGTTGCAGTTATTGCGATCAATGTAAGGTATTATGGATATTTTAATATATTTAATGGCGACGTTTTTTTTTTTTAACATTGAGTACAGTTTCTGCGTAAGCATAGGGGATATACATATCTATATATGTATACGAACTCTCTCGCGTACATTTGCCTATATTCGTCCATTTGATGATATATATAATTACTTTTTGTTTACATCTGTGTATCTACCTATGGCAATTATACCCATTTATCTATACGGTCTATTTGCATGTGACAGCAGAGGTTTTATCTATCTATCTATCTATCTATCTATCTATCTATCTATCTATCTATCTATCTATCTCAGTGTGTTCCTATCTATCTATCTATCTATCTATCTATCTATCTATCTATCTATCTATCTATGTCAGTCTGTTCATATCTATCTGTCTCCGGCTTTGTACTATCTATCTAAGGCAGTTTTCACTATTTGTCTAATTGATATATGCGCATGGTACAGCGGGGTTATCTATCTATCTATCTATCTATCTATCTATCTATCTATCTATCTATCTATCTATCTATCTCTGACAGTTTTCCCTATTTATCAATATGATCTATGTGCATGAGACAGCGGTGTTTTACCTATGTATCGATATATATATATATCTATCTATCTGACAGTCTCTTAATATCTATCTATCTATCTATCTATCTATCTATCTATCTATCTATCTATAACAGTTTTCCCTATTTATCAATATGAACTATGTACATGGGACAGCGGTGGTTTTATCTATCTATCTATCTATCTATCTATCTATCTATCTATCTATCTATCTATCTATCTGTTTTCTAGTTCAGACGTCCTATCTATCTATCTATCTATCTATCTATCTATCTATCTATCTATGACAGTTTTCCCCATTTATCAATATGAACTATGTGCATGGGACAGCTGTGGTTCTATCTATCTATCTATCTATCTATCTATCTATCTATCTATCTATCTATTTTCTAGTTCAGATTTCCTATCTATCTATCTATCTATCTATCTATCTATCTATCTATCTATCTATCTATCTATCTATCTATCGTTCAAAATCTATTCATTTCATTCCGCCTGTCTATCAATCTAATAATATACAAAGTAAATTCTGATCTCCATCTTTTCAGATATATTCTGCGTTTCATTATGTCTACAGTTAGTTTCCTGTCTCGAACAGAATCCGATGAAACACGTAAGAGAGAAAAAAAAAGTAAAGTATCGTTTTTCATGATTCTTCTGGGTTCGGCGACGAAACTGATTGATATCAGCTTCATACCGGAAGTCTTTGATCCTAGTTAACTTCCGGTTATTCTCAAGGTTGAAAAAAAAAATCCCCAAAACAAGCAGTCTATATCTACGTATGTAGATATAAAATTGACTCTCGTCTATATTGGTATCTAGAAGTCATTCGATTATTTTTTTTGTCTTGAAAAAAAAAAACGTAACATTCTATGACGCAAAAAAAGCTTTTGAAGCTGATATTTTTAAAAAAGATTATTTCGCTAAGAATTTGAATAAATGCGATTTAATCAAAGATTTTATCGGTGACATCAATGCGAAAAGCCTAAAGGAAGAAAGAATTGGTTTTTGAGGTAATGA